GTGGCAACTATAAAGTTTGGTGGAGGAATAATGGTCTGGGGCTGTTTTTCATGGTTCACCTTGGCCCCTTAGTTCCAGTGTTGGGAAATCTTAACGCTACAGCATACAATGACATTCTAAACGATTCTGTGCTTCCAACTTTGTGGCAACAGTTTGGGGAAGGCCCTTTCCTGTTTCAGCATGACAATACACCAATGCACAAAGCGAGGTCCATACAGAAATGGTTTGTCGAGATCGGTGTGGAAGAACTTGACTGGCCTTCAGAGCCCTGACCTCAACCCCATCGAACACTTTGGGATGAATTGGAACGCTGACTGCGAGCCAGGCCTAATCGCCCAACATCAGTGCCCGACCTCACTAATGCTCTTGTGGCTGAATGGAAGCAAGTCCCCACAGCAATGTTCCAACATCTAGTGGAAAGCCTTCCCAGAAGAGTGGAGGCTGTTATAGCAGCAAAGGGGGGACCAACTCCATATGAATGCCCATGATTTTGGAATGAGATATTCGACGAGCAGGTGTCCACATATTTTTGGTCATGTAGTGTAGCTTCCTTTTCCTCTGAAAAGCGGATGTGGGAACTCCGCTCAGGTGTTTTCTTTTCCACCTGCTTTGTTAGGTTAGCCAGGCGTAAACAACAGACTTCTGCAACCTGATTGGCTGAACGCGATACTCAACATCCAGGACTAGCATTCCTAGGCATTAGCCCCTTCTAGCATGGTTGTCACTAGTTACCACAGCCACAAAGTCATAAACCCATCCTAATTCTACAATTTATCTTAAAATCAGATTTTAAACCTAACCCTAACCTTAACCATAATAAAACCACAATGCTAACCTAACCCTAACCTTAAATTAAGACCAAAAAGCTCATTTTTGTTTTCATGAATTTTAACGATATAGCCCTTTTGACTTTGTGGCTGTGGTATCTAGTGAAAACCATATTTGCACCCTGAATTGAGAATGTTTTATGTATGAACCGGTCCACGGGGTACGATTGTATAGCCAGCTGCTAACAATGCCTTTGGACGGTAAAATGAAATGACTCAATATTGCCACCTGCCGGCCTTTTGGCTATTGCTGCTCATTGATACTACTGTAGGATAAACTGTAACACTTTAGTTTGTATAATTTGAAACATTTGTACAAATAGTCTATTACAGAGTCTTTATAACCAGGTGTTGAAATTAAGGAATGTCTTTGAAATTGGGCCAAATATGTTTAGACTATTTTCTATGTGTGTTAAAGGAAACTGAAATAGGCCTTCTGTTTGGGAGTACCACCATTTGATTATCTTTGTAACATTTAATGAAAAAATAAATGTTCCTACAAAAGTAGTACAATTGTTTTGCTCTCTGTCACTTGTGTCTGCAGAGTTAAAGTTGTTTACATAGCCCGCTCAGGACAGAGAATCCTAGTGAAGGCTCATGTGGAGGACAACATCCTATATTTGACCCACAAGCATGGCATTGCCCAGTGGGTCATGACTGACTGACTGACATCCATCCCACATTCATGTCCATGATCAAAGACATGGGTTCCTCAAGAAGTTGAAATGTATTGTCTTTCTGTCTTAGTATATTGCTTGGAAAGATGACAGTGCATGTCATAGTCTTGTCTGTTACCATCTGGTACTGTGTTAATACTCAGGTGCATGTGAGACTTCGTTGGCCTGTTCTACATGCCATGTGTATGTAAATGAAGGCTACATCGACAAGCGGCCCCAACCTGAGGAGAGGTAATGAACAATTGAAAACTATAGGCCTACTGTTACTTTATCAAGGGCAGCAAGGGACAAGTGCAAGTCATTTGTTCTGATGAGTCCAAATTTGAGATTTTTGGTTACAACCGCCATGTCTTTGTGAGACGCAGAGTAGGTGAACGGATGATCTCCGCATGTGTGGTTCCCACCGTGATGCATGGAGTTAGGAGGTGTGATTGTGTGGGGGTGCTTTGCTGGTGACACTGTCAGTGATTTATTTAGAATTCAAGGCTCACTTAACCAGCATGACTAACACAGCATTCTGCAGCGATAAGCCATTCCATCTGGTTTGCGCTTAGTGGGACTATCATTTGTTTTTCTATTTTTTTTTACATTTAAATTTTTAGTCATTTAGCAGACGCTCTTATCCAGAGCGACTTACAGTTAGTGAATACATGTTGTTGTTTTTTTATACTGGCCCCCCGTGGGAATCGAACCCACAACCCTGGCGTTGCAAACGCCATGCTCTATCAACTGAGCTACATCCCTGCCAGCCATTCCCTCCCCTACCCTGGACCAATTGTGCGCCGCCCATGAGTCTCCCGGTCGCGGCCGGCTGCGACAGAGCCTGGATTCGAACCAGGATCTCTAGTGGCACAGTTAGCACTGCGATGCAGTGCCTTAGACCACTGCGCCACTCAGGAGAGTTTTCAACAGGACAATGACCCAACACACCTCTAGGCTGTGTAATGGCTATTTGACCAAGAGCGAGAGTGATGGAGTGCTGCATCAGATGACCTGGCCTCCACAATCACCCGACCTTAACCCAATTGAGATAGTTTGGGATGAGTTGGACCGCAGAGTGAAGGAAAAGCAGTCAACAAGTAATCAGCATATGTGGGAACTCCTTCAAGACTGTTGGAAAAGCATTCCAGGTGAAGCTGGTTGACAGAATGCCAAGAGTGCGCAAAGCTGTCATCAAGGCAAAGGGTGGCTACTTTGAAGAATCTAAAATCTAAAATATATATTTTGATTTGTTTAACACTTTTTTGGTTACTACATGATGTTATTTCATAGTTTTGATGTCTTCACAATTATTCTACAATGTAGAAAATAGTACAAATAAAGAAAAACCCTTGAATGAGTAGGTGTGTCCAAACTTTTGACTGGTACTGTATGTCCACACGACCCACACAAAGTAAGTCATGTTAGTGTACCCGGCCACACGCTGCTGCTTCAACAGTATAGCTTCCTGGCTCACCAGCTCGCACTGAGACTAGATTTCCCGTCCTCTGTCTTGCAAATGCACATCACTGCCCTCTTATGACACCTCTAACCAGATGTGCCACCAAAAATGAATTTCAATTTGAGGAGCAAGTTTAGCCAACTCAACTCGGTTACATTAGGACACTAAATGTCTTGGGAACTTAAAGTTCCTTGAAGTTGTATTTATTGCACCTGGTTCAAAAACACAGTACTAAGCTGTGTATCTCTACTATCATAACCTGGAGTCTACACTGTGTTCACATGGAGTCTACACTGTCTTCACCTGGAGTCTACACTGTCTTCACATGGAGTCTACACTGTCTTCACCTGGAGTCTACACTGTCTTCACATGGAGTCTACACTGTCTTCACCTGGAGTCTACACTGTCTTCACATGGAGTCTACACTGTCTTCACCTGGAGTCTACACTGTCTTCACCTGGAGTCTACGCTGTCTTCACCTGGAGTCTACACTGTCTTCACCTGGAGTCTACACTGTATTCACCTGGAGTCTACACTGTCTTCACATGGAGTCTACACTGTCTTCACATGGAGTCTACACTGTCTTCACCTGGAGTCTACACTGGACTCCACACTGTCTTCACCTGGAGTCTACACTGTCTTCACCTGGAGTCTACAGTTGTGTATCTTCTGTTGCCAGTACAGCATTGAAGTAAAGTAATTAACTTGAAGCCACAAGATGTGGATCACATAGTGGTTGATAATGAATTTAAACACATTTACTTTATGATCATATAATGACCAAAAGAACGGCAAGTTCCACTGCCAGATATTTTGAAATGTCAGCACTGTTATATGTTGCCGCAAAAGTTTCATCAATTAGTCTGTTACAGAAGTTTCCTCAAGGAAAATATTTGTGTTGATGAGTTCTGAATCTTCTCAAATAACATCAAAGCAAAGTACAATCATCAATTCTGGAGTGGGGGTAATCTAAAGAGACTTGTATCCAAGCCAAGCTCATTGGCCACTGTGTAGAAACAAGCACTATCTTAATCCATGACTCAAATGGGCAACAATTAATTACCCTTTTTCTGTCAAATGGAAATCCAACTTTTGGTTTACTGTGAGGAGATGTCCTTATTTTTACTGAATGATTGTTTGTTAGTGTTGTTGTTACAATGCTCTATAGTCCCTTGCTTTAGGGAACAATGTCATAAGGCTTGTCTAAGTCCAGCTGTTGTAAAAATCTGTGATTGCATTTTAGAAGTAGAGCAATATTTATATACAAGAAATAGAGAGAGAGAGAGACAGATTTCAGAGTTTTTTTTCACACATTTATTGTAATAGAATTAGATTGGAAGTTTCAACATGATCCATCAGTTTAATATGAATAAATAGGCAACAAAATAAATATATCAATAAATATACTGAGGTTTGCATAAATACATTGGAGGGTCAAGTAGGATGTGACGTTGTTCATTACGAAATCATTCCAATACAACCGGAATGCATGTAAATCTCATAATTAGATTACAACAATGAAAGAAAAACGCTTTATAAATAAAATATAAAATATAAGCTTAGTACATAGTACTTGGTTGTATATAAGAAACCGACTGTCTCTTCATTTAAAATAAATCTCATCCCACTCTAAATCTAGTATTGTTTTCCAAACTGGATAGAAAATGATAGAATGCAGCCTATCAATCTTATCAATACTTCTTTGGTTTGTATCTTGTAACAGTTCAGAATATTAATGGAATGATTCCCCCTCTTCATTTGTTGCTGTTGAGGAAAATAAAAGATTACGTTATTACAATATAATTGACAATGTGAAGTGGATTCAGATCTTTTTGTGAGCTAGACAAGAAAATTCCCCAAGCTTAGGATAATAAAATATTAAAGAAAATGTCACTTGAACCTAGACATATTTCTGTCAGGTGAAGCAAGTCATACTCTGCTGTATTTATGACATAATTTTGTCCAATCAAACTCTCTGTTAAATGACAGTCATCCTATCTGTGTTGTTTTACCTGGTCGTTTTACATCCTTAGGCTGTACGAGTTTATCTTGTACTTACTTGGCCAGCATCTTCTCAATGACCCTCTTGACCCAAGGAGCGCTGACATCCAGACAAATCTCCTGACCGCTCTTGCTCAGAGTGGCACTGCAGGACAGACACACAGCACAGTCAGACAATCACGAAACCTGGTAATAACTACATTTTAGTGTCAGCATTAGCTAGTGAAATGGGAGGGTAGGGAGTAGGACTGATTAATTTAAGTTATATATTTTTAAGTTAACGTTCTATAGTAACCACATTTAATGTCAACATCATATATTAGCCATATTGTACAGTAAGCATTTGCCAGTGTAATAGGACTCTAACCAGGAAGCAGCAGGACTCACATGATCTCAGTGTCTCTGCAGTGCGAGCTGGGAGGGAACATCTCCACCTTCTTAATGAGTCTACCAATACGTCTGCTCTCCGTCTCGATGCAGCGACATCGCAGGTCAGCCCCCACGCCTCTCAGACTCATCCCTGTTAGAGGAAGAGGTCATGGGTCAGGGGTAGAAAGAATACACAGGCATCCACCGTGATGACAAACACACTTGATTAGTTAGAGAGAGGGAAAGAGAGAGAGAGAGTCATCCACGCATGACTGTAAGTTGCTTTGGATAAAAGCGTGTGCTAAATGGCATATATACAGTATATATATATTACATATATTAGAGAGAGAGAGATGCAGATAGACAGACTGATTTGTATGTATAATAAGATACAGGATACAGTACGGTATATAAAGGTAAATAGTAATCCTACTGCTCATAACCATTATATTCATGTCCATTGGTGTCAATGCATTGAGTCAGAGTGATGTAGGTAATAATATAAACTCACCCTCAGTGATGGTCAGGAGGACCAGGAGCACAACGACAAGGCTGGCTGACATTCTGATGCTCATCTTGGAGTTACAGATGATCCTACTAGAAATCCTCAAATAAAGTCTAATGTTGTTATCTCGCTGGTAACAAGTAGTGTAAAGTATTGTATTGTTATATCTTTCTCTCTTTGTCAGTCTTGTTGTGAGTTCTTTCTTTCTTTCCTTCTCTGTCTGTGGTGAGTTTGAATCTGCCGCTGTGAGGAGAGAGACGCTTTGTCTGCCACTGTGGGGAGAGAGCTGTTTTAAAGCCGAGTTCTGGAAGTGAGTCATTGCAGCATATGGAAGATTGTGAAATCGGGGACTTGGCTGACTGACTGGCTGAGTGAGGCAGGGAAATTCTCAGTTTATCTCATGAGTGACAGCAAGACTCTCTTGTGATTTGTTTTTACACTGCTGCTAATCGCTGTTTATTATCTATGCATAGTCACTTTACCCCTACCTACATGTACATATTACCTCGACTAACCTGTACCCCCGCACATTGACTCGGTACCGGTACCCCCTGTATATAGCCTCATTATTGTTATTTTATTGTGTTACATTTTTATAGATGTAATTTTTTGCTTTAGTTTATTTAGTAAATATTTTCTTAACTCTATTTTCTTAAAACTGCATTGTTGGTTAAGGGCTTGTAAGTAAGCATTTCACGTTAAGGTCTACACCTGTTGTATTCGGCGCATGTGACAAATGACATTTGATTTGATTTGATTTTGATTTATCAACAGCTTTCTCATGGAACAACCTCTGTCACATCACACAGATGGAAAAATGCCAAATTAAAGTGTTATGAAATGTTGTGAAATGCTTGAGTTTTGAATGCATTGATGATTCTTTACTAACCAGATTTGTTTTTAACTATTAATATGAGTAAAGTGCACAGCGCTATATTTCTCACTCACAACTATGTATTAACACATTCAAGATGTGTACATTGGAATCCTAACTGACATCGACTAATAGAACATTTCTAATGCAACCTAGCTGTGGACAAATGGCTGAAATATGCGTATTGTGTCACAAAACATTAATCACACAGGATGGACCGTTTCAACAAAGAATCATCATCGCCAGTGATTAGGCTCACCAGATCACAAAACTCCTGAACATAATTATGCTATAAGAGCCAGTAGTTTTCCCTGACCGCCTGGACACCGACCCTAATCATCATTCATTTAGACGTTTTTTTATTTATTCTACCATTGAAAGGGGCATAATATACTCTATGTTCGCTCACCTAATGTATGATGGTGAGTTTCAAATGAAGACATAGTAGAGAAAACACAATGCTTGAATTGAATCCAATTTAATCCAATTTAATTAAATTCAATACTCTTTTTATTGCAAGTAGGCCTAGTTTACACCACCCGGGCCTCTAAAGCTGACTGATGTTTTATTTACAAAAATAGGCCTACCTAATAACACTTTAAATCACAATCTCTGTGCATGCTTTACACCGATTATAGAAAACATTAAGACCACCTGCTCGTTCCATGACATAGATTGACCAGGTGAATCCAGGTGAAAGCTATGATCCCTTATTGATGTCACTTGTTAAATCCACTTCAATCAGTGTAGATGAACGGGAGGAGACAGGTTAAAGAAGGATTTTTAAGCCTTGATACAATTGAGATATGGATTGTGTATGTGTGCCATTCAGAGGGTAAATGAGCAAGACAAAATATTTAAGTGCCTTTGAATGGGGTATGGTAGTAGATGCAAGGCACACCGGTTTGTGTCAAGAACTGCAACGCTGCTGGGTTATTCACACTCAACAGTTACCTGTGTGTATCAAGAATGGTCCACCACCCAAAGGACATCCAGCCAACTTGAAACAACTGTGGGAAACATTGGAGTCAACATGGGCCAGTATCCCTGTGGAACGCTTTGGACACAAGCGTTCCACAATGTAGAGTCTATGCCCCGACAAATTGAGGGCAAAAGGGGAGGTTCCTAATGTTTTGTATACTCAGTCTATATCACAATCTCTGTCCACACTTTAAATACAATTTTCTATTATAAACATGAAGTGACAAACAATAAAATGTAAGTAAACATTGAGTAACTGAGATTACATTCCTCCAGACAGGCAGGGTGCCAGAAACTCAGCTCGCCATGGGCTCTAAACACATGACAAAAATGAAACATGAACCAACACATCTGACCCGTACAACTACGACATCACACCATGTATGACCACTCTGCCCCCATCTATGAGAGGAAGTGTGTATTTTTTGAAAATAGTAATTGTAATGTGATTGATGGGTGATTTTGTATAGGTCATAGATTGTGCTGCAATGATTGTGCTATAAGTAGGAACAGGAGTTTTTCCTGAGCTTAAAGTGACCTCACTGGGAAAACTCTGGTTATAGTCAGTAACGAATAACAGAGGGCTTGTTTAAGTGGTAAGGCGAAAGCAACTGACTGTAGATCAAAGTCAAGGAATGAAGTCAGCATGGTGCATCTGCAACAGCTGAAAGTCAGACACTATATGGACAGGTCGAAATTTACTGGGGGGAAGGTTGTGTGTTTTTTTTATTGGGCACAGGGGAGGGTAGTGCGTTTTGTCCCTGGTTTACATTCACTCTTCTGCTTATATTTTCCCTGTAAACAATGGCTTGACTTACTTTTTATATTACCCTAATAAAGTTTAGAAAGGTTTGGTATGGTGTGGCTATTGTTAAGCTTTAGCTACTGCAGGCCCCAGCTCGCCTGGCCCCTATAATCTAACAATATAATGCTTATCTTTATAAAAATATTAGGATCGAAAATTAACGAATTTGCCTCCTTTTGTAGATCTATATCTGTATAGCAGACGCAGGAGCCATCTGACATAAAGAACGCCATTTTCCTTCATCATACTAGTGGCTAATGCTACTTCCTGATGTTGTGCCCCGTGTAGAGCCAGGGGTCACCCTTAGTGGAATTAACCACAACCGGATGCATCCGGTTTTCACTGATACAGCTGATTCAACAAACACAAAAGTATGTGGACACCCCTTCAAATTAGTGGATTAGGCTATTTCAGCCACACCCGTTGCTGACAGGTGTAAAAAATTGAGCACACGGCCATGCAACCTCCATAGACAAACATTGGCAGTAGAATGGCCTTACTGAAGAGCTCAGTTACTTTCAATGTGGCACCGTCATAGGATGCCACCTTTCCGACAAGTCAGTTCATCAAATTTCTGCCCTGCTAGAGCTGCACCGGTCAACTGTAAGTGCTGTTATTGTGGAGTGGAAAAATCTAGTAGCAACAACAGCTCAGCTGCGAAGTGGTAGGCTGTGTAAAAATCGTCTGTCCTCGGTTGCAACACTCACTACCGAGTTCCAAACTACCTCTGGATGCATCGTCAGCACAAGAACTGTTCATCGGGAGCTTCATTAAATGGGTTTCCATGACCGAGCAGCCGCACACAAGCCTAAGATCACCATGCGCAATTCCAAGTGTCGCCGCCATTGGACTCTGGAGCAGTGGAAATGCGTTCTCTGGAGTGATGAATCACGCTTCACCATCTGGCAGTGCGACGGACTAATCTGGTTTTGGCGGATGCCAGTAGAACCCTACCTGCCCCAATGCATAGTGCCATCTGTAAAGTTTGGTGGAGTAGGAATAATGGTCTGGGGCTGGTTTCATGGTTCGGGCTAGGCCCCTTAGTTCCAGTAAAGGGACATCTTAACGCTACAGCATACAATGACATTCTAGACGATTCTGTGCTTCCAAGTTTGTGGCAACAGTTTGGGGAAGGCCCTTTCCTGTTTCAGCATGACAATGCCCCGTGCACAAAGCGAGGACCATACAGATATAGTTTTTTCGAGATCGGTGTGAAAGAATGGCCCAACATCAGTGCCCTACCTCTACCTAATGCTCTTGTGGCTGAATGGAAGCAAGTCCCCGCAGCAATGTTCCAACATCTAGTGGAAAGCCTTCCCAGAATAGTGGAGGCTGTTATAGCAGCAAAGGGGGGACCAACAGATCCGACCTGCGCTAGGTCGGCTCTGAATGCATATGGATGTCTGTGAAATGTCTCAAATGTCTGGTAAATTAAAATGTTCCTTGTCATGTTGTCCGGCTCTGATAGTGAAGTAATGAAACAGGCAGGGAGAGTGAGCTTGTCTGTGGTGTTCGGCGAACCCTCATCCTTCTGGCCTGTAACCCTGCGTGGCATGGACTGTGCCACATAAGCATACTGAAGTGGCAAAGTCGATATCCACATTTATAAACACAGGGTTGCTAATTATTGCTATTTTTGGTTGTAAACATTATTTTGAGTGAATTCTATGAGGGGGAGGGTGTTCAAATAATTTTATTAAAATATTTGTAATGTTGGGGAGGGGGGTGCATTTTTATTTTGAGTTGGACCAGCCCCTCCCCCCCAGTAAATGTCTATCTGTCCCTAACCACGTTTCCAGCCACAGTTTTTATGCAAGTAAAGTCATACATATTTAAAAAATCACAACAGCTGTGCCTGTGATGGAAACAGGAAGTTTCAGTACAATTTTGTAAATGCCAACAGATCATTTGTTCGTTCGACATGGTGGGATCTTTTTGTGTCTTTTAAAATGTGTTATGCGCGAAATGGTGGTGGAAACGCAGTAAACTTGGAGTCACGCTATGATATGGTGTGTGGTCCTCCCACTACTACTCAGGAAACCATTCAGTTTATTAGGCTACAGATTAAATAAATGATGAACTTCACAGGGTGGTGAAAGTGCACTGTGATGAGATTGATGCTCCTTTCCAATAAATATCGAGGGTCTTATTCTGGTGACATGATCAATGCTTGACTGCCATTTGGCAAATACAAATATTCATAATAATCTCATCATGTAGACTAGCCTTCCCTACCCGCACTGTATCTGTGAGCTGTTGACTAGTGCATGTAGGCACATTTGCTATTTAATACAACAGTTTTTGTGACAAAAATATCGGTAGAGTTGAAAATGCCATAGAAACACATTGAACTTTAGATTTTTATTCAGTACATGAAAACGTAAGCTAAAAAGTACAT